ATATCTGATTTATTAAATGGCTAAAGTTTAGCCTCCTATGTCTAACTTAGTAGGGGAAAGGGAGGGAGCACAAAAAGTCCTTCATTAGGAGTTTCTTTAGGAGAAAAAGGGGTTTTGGAGAACAAATGAGAGATACATTTTATGATAACGTTTGTCTGTACAGGTATGAGTAAGCAGTCACATTGCCTCCTTCAGGGCCATAAAACTCTCCTGGAGAAGGGATTTGGGATGGGTTTTATTCCTTTTCTCCTTTCTGGCAGTAGAGCTGCCTTGAAGAAGGAATTTATGGCAGCCTTATTTCAGAAGTTACTGCTTTTCATCATAGAAGAGAAGCTCTGAGAAAGTTTTTTTGTTTTTTTTACATTTTTGAATTTCAAATGTCTTCACCATAACTCTGGAGTTCTAAGTGGATCCTCATACCTGCATCAGAGAGGTCACATTGGCCATAACAAGACCCTGTTTCCTCAATAAATTAAAAAAAAATAAAATAAGCCAGGTGTGGTGGCACATACCTGTGGTTATAGCTACTCAGGAAGCTGAATCATGAAGATCACTTGAGTCCCAAAGTTCGAGGCTGTAGTGAGCTATGATGACGCCACTGCACTCTAGCCTAGAGGCAGAGACCATGTCTCTAACCAAAAAAAAAAAAAAAAGAGAGAGAGAGAGAGAGGTCTCACTGGAAACCTGGCAACCATTTGATTTGAGAGGTGGTGGTGGGTGAGGATCAAGAACTGTGAACACAAAAAAGAACTGTAAACACCTATGCAGACCCTGTCACGCCCTCACCCCTCCCACAGTAATTCTCAGCCTCTACTGATAACAGAGGTTGTCAAAGGATCTCCCGGTCTGTAAAGTGACCACAGAAACTCAATCATTATTTGATCCAACAAATTTAATGTGCTTATAAATTTGTTTTTTGTGGATGATAAACATAATAAATATTTATTTAAAAAATTACATATCAAACAGAGAAAGTCTATCCTTATTTGACTTAAAAAAAAAAAAAAGTCAATCCAAATGTACCAAAGGTGAGCCAAAAAGAAAAAAAGAAAAGGAAAACAAAAAGAAATTAAAATCACATATACTGGGCTTGGCACCCATAGCTCAGTGGTTAGGGTGCTGGCCATATACACGGAGGCAGGAAGGTTCAAACCTGGCCCTGGCCTGCTAAACAACAACAATTGCAACAAAAAAATAGCCAGGTGTTGTGGTGGGCTCCTGTAGTCTCAGCTACTTGGGAGGCTGAGGCAAGAGAATTGCTTAAGCCCGAGAGTTGGAGGTTGCTGGGATGCCATGGCACTCTACCCAAGGCAACATAGTGAGACCCTGTCTCCAAAAAAAAAAAAATCACTTAGACTGTTATCAGGCACAGATAACTACAATCAATGTTTTATTGGCTTATTGCCTAGATACACAAACAAGTTTGTAAAAATTGAAATCAAGGCTGGGAGTGGTGGCTCACACCTATAAACCTAGGAGGCCAAGGCAGGTGGATTGCCTGAGCTTAAGAATTTGAGACCAGCCTGAGTAAGAGTGAGACCCTGTTTCTAAAATAATAGCTAGGCGTGGTGGTGGGAGCCTGTAGTCCTAGCTACTCAGGGGGCTGAGGTAAGAGGATCACTCGAGCCCAAGTTTGAGGTTGCTGTGAGCTATCACACCACAGCAGTCTACTCTGGGCTACAAAATAATATGAATAGTTTTCTTAATAATATGCTAGAACATCTTTCCGCTTTGTTAGATAGTTTTCAAAAATAAGATAGCCAAGGGATCATCACATGGCTATATGGCTGTGTCTTAATCGATTTATCTGATTCCTTACCTTGGATATTGAAGTGGAGAGCATTTTTGCCAAAATAATCAGCTACACGCACATGTGTTTCAGCAGATGTTTGGTGGGTGCCTCTGGTGCCAACTCACTGCTCAGGTGAGAAGAGCAAACCTCTGACAAGTGGCTACAGTGAAAGTGCTGATCTACAAAGCACTGGGGACAGCCAAGGAGGGAGGCCCTGGGAGAGGAAGGCAAGGGTGGACTTTTGTGCTGGGGCAGGTGAGAGTCAGGGAGCTGTGGCCTGGACATCTATCCACAGTCGCTGGGAGTGTTTCACGTGACCACAGGCAGGGTAGGGACTGCCTCTTAAGGTTGCTGTACCCACCCCAGGTTTGGCAAAGCAAGTACAGAGGCAGAGCCAGTCATTCGTGTCTGTAATCACTTTCTGCCCTCCTCCTGGATGCCCAGGGCGGCAGTGGCGCACACATGTGGTATGTGTTGGAACTTTGGTGATGCCACTGGGGTTCTGTTCTCCCTTCTCTCTGTTCCCTAACTCTGAGAGACTTCTCCCTGTGTGTTCTTCCTGTGGGCACAGGCTAGGAACTGGGGAACTGGGAGGGGATGAGGCCTTTTCTGGAGGAAGGGGCATGTGGCTTCCTCCTTACTCCCAGGCTTCCCTAAACATTCAGGGGCATAGGGACCCACTGAGGGACTTCGGGCCTTCCCACACACCCTGCTCAGGAGGGTGCCCAGAAGGACAGTTTTTAAGCTCCATTAACTCAGAGAGTTTTTATAAGCTTTGAGTTGGCAGAACTGAGTCAGGCTCAGGCTGTCAGGAGCTCAGCTTGCTTGGGGAGGAGGCCTGCTCTGTGCCTCAGGTTCCATATCTTCAGCATGGGGGTTGTAATGGGGTATAGCAAGAACGCTGTTTGCTGGGGCTCCACAGCCCTAGAGCCTGAATAACTGCTGTGACCCTCCAATCCTCATCTGTTCTGTAGTGTGGGGATAATAGTGCCCTGCCTTTCCCCAGCCAAGACCTCTTGGGGCTGGCAATGGTGCCTGAGGAGGGCTGCTGGTGCATGTCAGCCCAGAGAGGGGCTCCGAAAAGGGTACCTCTCTCCCTTGTGCATCCCAGGAGCAGGGCAGACCCAGACTGTGCTGAAATCCCTAGGGCACTTCTCCCGGAAGGTGGCTCCACTCCCCTCCTGTGCTCAGAGCATGAGAAGCCGCATCAGCACCTGTGCTGAGCAGCTTCCTCTGTGGGCAAACAGGAAGCAGCCTACCTCGAGGGAGGCAGAGGGACACCATGCAGAGGCCTCCCGACCCCGTGACGGTGCCCTCACCCCTGCTGCTGCTTCTGCTTTCTCTCTGTCCTCCCTTGCCAGCACTTGTCCAGTTTATGAGCAGGTGTTGATTCATCAGTCTTTTTGTTTATTTCTGTCTCTGTCACTGGGTTGGATGCTCCCTGAGAAAAGGGTTGTGTGTTTTATTCCTGATGGGTCAGCAGCTTCTACATAGGGACCATGTCGATTAGGCGCTGACTTAAGCTGTGGCAACATTCTGGAAGCACCCAGTGGGCTGTCCACCTGAGTGGAGGGCTTGGTGACTTTATGGCTTACTCTGAGTGGGCAGAGTGTTGTAAAAACCCAAATATCAGAGGAAGAGCAGATTGGGGGAAAGAAGGAATCAGGTCTCCCTTACAAACATTGAGTTTTAGGTCTGGTGAGATAAGTCTGCCCCTAAAATTAGCCAGCACAGGGAGCAAATATTGGAGGCCCCATCTGACATGTCCAAATGTGCAAGTTAGGACCAAAGCTAACAAACTGTCATACCGACTGCCCTATTCTCCTAATCCTCACCTTCCTCATGGCCTGGTGGTCCAGGTTTGAGTTAAGATTCTCAGAGTTAAAAAAAAAAAAGATTCTTAGAGTTTGTGGTTGCTGTGAGCTATGATGATGCCATAGTACTCAACCCCAAGGTGACAGAGTAAGACTCTGTCTCAAAAAAAAAAAAAAAGAAAAGAAAAGAAAAAGAAAAAAAAGATTCTCAAGCTCCTCTGAATGGGCTGCTGTGGTACACTGCACCCCAGCCTTTGGTGCCTGCTGTGGCCCTACTCACACAAGCATCTGGGTAGTTAGCCTGCCCACAGGTCCAAGCCCTGTCCATCTCCCTCCCACCTCTCTACCAGCACTCTTGTCCCCACCATGCTGCAGTCTAGGGCTGCACAGAGCAGTGGTGCAGTGTATCCATGAGAAAGGAGGCCATTCAGGCCCCAGAAGCAGAGAATCCTGGGATCCTGAGGCTTAGAGTATGGTGGAGAAAGGGGGCGCGCAGGCTCCAGGTAGGATGGCCCTGTGGACTCTGCACCGTGGGGAGGGATGCAGCTGGAGGGACAGCTAGAGCCCAGTCCTGTCACCTGCAGGCCTGAACAGCCTGGTCTGAAGGCACTGCTGGTTGGGCATACAAGTGGAGGAGTCCACTGGGCAGCTGGGTTAGTGACAACAAGACTGTAGGGTAGGGCAGAGTCTTTGGATCCTCAGCAGAGAAGTCTAGTCGTTGAGGCAGAAGAAGTGGATCATATGGGTGGAGAAGAGAATGGTGCATGGGTATCATTCCCTACTAGCCCTGATCTTATACTCGTGGAGAATTCAGCTGTAGGAAGGGAGGACAGTCAGTGCATGTAGTCAGAGGCTCTAAGTTCTAATGCCAACTGTGTGACTTCCCAGCTGGGCATCCCTAGGCAGTGGCTTAAATTCTCTGAGCTGGCCTCGGAATCTGGATCTGCATAATGGGTTTAGTTATGCTTCATAAAGTAGGTATGAGGAATGGTTGAGTGCTATTGGGGTACACCTTTTAACTACAAGGCAGCTGTATCAGGTGACTAGACACATAGCCACACAAAATTCAAAATGTTAATAAACACAAAGAAAGAAAAGTTACCTGACCTGGAGCCCTTCTGTCTCCCACTGGGTGTCCTGTAGGGGACAGAGAGCCTGGGCAGAGCCACGGGGAGGAAGGAGGTGGGGCCTGCTCATAGTCCAGGCCCAGCCCCTTCCCCTTTCTGTCTCCCGGGGCCTTCCATTGTGGGAGAAAGGCAGTGCCATCATGGCAGGTCCTTCTGGCCTAGTGTGCAGGCTGGGGGCCTCCAGAGAGCGGGTACATGGGGAAAAGGCCCAGGTGCCAGGCCTGGGAATGGAGACTCTTGTCTTGTGGGCAGGAAGTGCGGGTGCTGAGTAGCTCAAGGGCCCTGGGGAGGTGGTGGGGCGCAGGAGGGGTGTGTATTGTGGTGAGCAGGAGCGGAAGGAGGAAGCACCAGCCACCACAGCCATATTTGCTGGGCAGGAGGACTGTGCAGCCAGGAAGTGCTCCTGGGACCCCAGGCCAAACATCCCTTCTTGGGCCCTCTGGAGGTGAGCGAGTTGGGCCTTCCTAGGGTGCAGCAGGGGGAGCTTCCAGGGCGAGCAGGGGACATGAAGGGGATGGGAACAGTAAGCGCAGGGCAGCGTGTCCTTTGTATGTGTGCACCTGCCGTGAGTGAGTCTGGCCTAGGCTAGACTCCTAGCCTTCCCTTTCCTCCTCTCTGTCCCCTCATCCCTCAGCCAACTCCTCCCCGTTGGGCCCTTCTTGGATTCCCCACCCTGCCCTGGCTTCTCTAACCCCAGCCATTTCCCTTCCTAGGTCCTGGTCCTTTGGAGTTCTGCCACCAGGAAGGGTGAAGGAAGTCCCTTGCTTAACTTCTTGTGAACTCCCAGGGTGCTGGTTACTCTCATGGCTCAATACCCAGTGGAAGCTTTGGTGGCCAGAAGCTTCAAGTGAGCTTTGACCACAGACCCTGAGGGAGGGAGTCCGCGCAGGCCTGGGCCTGGAGTAGGGGCCGCCCTAGGTGTGGCCTCTGTAGGAGCTCAGTGTTCCCTCTGCCACTGGGGGCTTCCAGCCTCCCCTGGCCTTCCAGGCTCCTCTCAGAGAGACTCGGGTAGAAGCAGGGACCCCTCTTGCCAGCTTCACTCTGGTTTAGGCTTGTTGTCTTCATGAGCACTAGGAACTATCTGACTCTGTCTGGGATGCAGTGAGGCCCACCCATTACAATTATGGTCATAGTGAAGGCAGCCTTGTGGAGGGAAGCCCTCGAGTCATGGTCTCTCATTCTAGGGCCCAAAATCCCACAGTTGGAGTCAGCCCTGTGCTAAAATGTAGGGAAGGGCAGCTAATGATAACCCTCAGGTGCCCGGGGCCTTAGCCCAGCTTGAAGGAGTGGGCCCCAGTAGGCCTGTCTCCCCAGTTTCCTGGGCCCTAGCACATCACATCATCCTCTCCTTCTCTGGAAAAGGAACCACCCAGCATAGGGATTAGAACCCACACAGGGAGGAGAGCGGTCCAAGGAAGGGGTGAGGGAAGCAGGGTGTGAGGACAGAGGGAGGAGAGGCCCCAGCTTGGCTCTGAACCTCCCAGTGGTCTTTGTCCTTCCAGGCCAACAGCTACACAGGGGCCCCTTTGGTGCTCTGTAGCCCCCATTCTCTCTCTGCCCACAGCAGCCCTATCCTCTCTGCTCCCCTCCTGAGCTCCAGCTGGCCCAGCGCAGGTCCTGGAGTGACGCCGCCGGCCTCTCTTTCTCTCCGTGCACATTTGCATGAAGGCTTCTTCCGTGTGGGCAGGATGTGGGGCTCCTTCAGTCATTTCTGTCATGGCACTACAGGCCCCAGTTCAGACAGGACGGCTGCCCTGCACCGCCAGCCGGGGAACTCCCCTCATGGCTCCTGCCCACAGGGGCATCTCTAGTCTGGCGGCTTTCTAAGCTTCTCAGGGACAGGACAGGTCATCTCCTAAGTCCTGGACAGGCCAGAAGCCTTCATGCTTTTCTACGGGAAGGAAAAACATTCCAGGGTAAAAGAAGGAATGTATGCCTCCTGAGTCCGGCAGCTGAGAGAGGGAGAGACACAGAGAAAGGCACCCTGGGGGTGGAAGGCTCAGGGCTGAGAGCCCAGTGCGGGCAGTTCAGGCTGAGCCTGGCCAAAGGGCTGTTTGTTTGTTTTTGTTTTTAGCCTCTCTGAACTGACACACAACAATGTTGAATTGGCAAAACGTGTTATTTCTTGACCACTTACCAAAGGCCACGCTCAGCATTAGCACTCAGACCCTTTCTGGCTTTATGATAAACCTGCAGAGCGGTTTACTGGGTTTACTGGATCTTATTTCCCTATTTTACAGAAAAGAACTAGGTGAAGTTTTTTACCCCCAGTGACATGGTTCTTTAGTTGTAGAGGTAGGGTCGGAGTCTGACACGGGAGCCTCCTTGTCTGTGTTCTTCACCATGACCTTCAAGTGGGCATCAGAGGGCATCAGAGTAGGGAGTCCTGGCCTGTACCCTTTTCCCTTCCTGCTCAGGGCACCTTTGTGCCCCAGCCTCCGTGCCTGGCTCCTCAGCCAGAGTACAAGGCTGCGTTCCCAAGCTGAAGGTGGAAAACAAACCTACTATTCAAAAGCATCATCCAGGTGTTACCTGTGCTTAGTCCTTGCCCTCGAAGATCAAAAAGGAGAGTGCCTTGAAGTCTCAGGGTGGCTCGGGGTGGGGTGAGGTATAAGGCACTCCGTGCTCTTGCTTCCTCAGCCGTCATTTTCTGTTTCCTTCACCTCCTGCTGGTTGAACACACAGCTTAGCCCCTGCAGAATTCTCCATGAGAAACACATACCCCGTTATGGTGAAAATTTCCTGAAATGTAATCAGCTAAGCTTAAGATGGAAGAGCTGGAGGAGGCACAGTGGGAGAGTAGTCTCTCATTCCCACCCAGCTCCCTTCCTCCCGCTCCCCTCTGTACCCTCCTTAGACATCCTGAGCCATCACAGTGCTCAGAAAAATGAAGGGCCACTTCATTGTACAGGTAACGGGAGCCACTTTAGGGCATGCGCAGATTCTTGATTGTGGATTCCCTTGCTTTTGCCTTTGTTTTGGTTAGGATAACTGAGACAGGAAATTGCAAAAGAGGTTTTACAAAACACCGGGTGTGGGAGAGACAAAGTAAGTCAAGAAAATTTTAGATGCATAAGACCTGGGCTGTGTTCCCCAATTTCTGGCCTATGTTCCCCAATTCCTGGCCGGCCTCTGCTGAAGAGATGTCATCCTACCTCCAGGAGTCAAAGGGTGGTCTCCATCATTGCCCCTTCCAGGGGACTGGTAGGATTGCCTTCATGGCCATAAGAAGTCATCCTATCCCTCTACCAGGGAGCAGCAATTAAAATTCAAAAAGAAAAAAAAAAAAAAGACTGGGAGCAGTGGCTCATGCCTGTGATCCTAGCACTCTGGAAGGTTGGGGCAGATTCAAGACCAGCCTGAGCAAGAGTGAGACCCTGTCTCTAAAAAATAGAGCTGTAGGGGGCGTTGTGTGAGTGGGGGGGTACCTGTAGTCCCACCTACTCAGGAGCCTGAGGCAAGAGAATCGCTAAGCCCAAGAGTTTGAGGTTGCTATAAGCTAGGACAACACAGCACTCTACCAAGGTACCAAGTGTAACAAAGTAAGACTCTGTCAAAAAAAAAAAAAAAAAAAAAAAGCCAGGCATGCTTCTTCATACTTGTAATCCCAGCACTGTAAGGGGGCTGAAGCAGGAGGATCACTTGAACTCTGGATTCAAGTGATCAGCCTGGGCATTATGATGAGACTCTATCTCTAAATAAATAATAATAAAAATTAGGCGGGTGTGATGGCATGCACATATAGTCCCAGCTACTCAGGAGGCTGAGGCAGGAGGTTCACTTCAGCCCAGGAGTTTGAGGCTGTAGTCAGTTGTGACCATACTCTAGCTTGGACAACAGAGGGAGACACTGTTTCTAAAAAAATAAGAAACAAAAGAAGGAAAGAATCTCTTAAACACACAGTTACACAAGTAGAGACCAACCAAGGTAATTGAATGGGTCCTCAACCTCCTGTTTTCTGTACAGGCTGCTTCCTGGGAGCTGAGGCCCACGGGGGCATTTTGATCGCTGGCCTGGCAGGGGTCTACCTCTGTGGCTCTCAGAGTGCAGGGCCTCTTAGGAGGAAGAGGCAATTCATTCAATGGCAGACTGGCCCCAATGAGGATGCCATCATGTCTTAGTGATGCTAATTCTCCTTCTCTAAGCCTCAGTCTCCCTAGTCCTCTGGCCAGGTTGTGGTGGAGGGAGTGTTCTGAGGATCCTTGCTATCTGTCTGTCTCTTCATTCATCTGTCCATCTATTCATCCATCCACCCTTTCTTTCATTTTCACAAATCATTTTTGTTTGCCTTTCAACTAAGCAGGGTATTACACTGGCAGTGGGAAAATAGGAGTTGGAGTGACTGTCTCTTCACAAGGGAATTCAGTAATGTCCATAGGAATGGACTTGTGGGTGAGAGGAGAAGGGGAGGCTTACGGAGCCCTGGACCTGGAGGAGTTCACTCACACCTCAGTTGAGGCCACAGGCCAGCCTGAAAGTTTCAAGGCAACACTAACCTTTAGCTTTCTTTTTTTTTTTCTGAGACAGTCTCACTATGCCACCCTCTATAGAGGGTTGTGGCACCACAGCTCACAGCAACCTCAAACTCTTGGGCTCAAGTGATTCTCTTGCCTCAGCCTCCCAAGTAGCTGGGACTACAGGCACCCACCACAACGCCCAGCTATTTTTTGTTGCAGTTGTCCTTGAGGTTTAGCTGGCCCAGGCCGGGTTTGAACCCGCCTGCTTCAGTGTATGTGGCTGGCATCCTACCCACTGAGCTACGGGCACCGCCCTAACTTTCTAATCTATTTGAACTACAGGTCCTGCCCCCCAGGACTTTGTGGGTGGGAGTGAACTAGCACAGTCCATCACATAAAGGGAGTCAGTCATTCAGCATTTACATACTGAGAAGCAGTGGTGAGCAGGGAGCACGATGGCCTGCCTTCCTGGCGTTTATCTTCTAGGTAAACTAGAACTGTGTGAGCAAACACTCAGGGAACATTGGATAAATACTCTGGAAGCAGATGTGAGGGATGGAACGTGCTGGGATTGAGTTTAATTGGTGTAAAGAGTCAAACCACACACCTTGTCCCCCACTAAATCTGGTGGTGGTTCTCCACTGCCTTCCCCCTCGGGCTCCCCTCCTCTCCCCACTGTGTCCTCCAGCCTACTCAGAGTGCTGGTGCCCTGGACATTTGCTCTCTGGAAAGGTGCTGCATCTTCTCTGTGTTTTGTGCTAATTTGTTTGTTTTTTTTCTCTCCAAAAAAAACTGAGGAACACTGAGTTCCTTCTGGGAAGGCAAATAAATGGTCTTACGTCTAGCATAGTCCAAGCATTCGCCTGTGCTGCTGCTTTGTATTACAGATGCATGTTTGTTTACTAAGATGGGACATTAAGAAAGGGGCTTCAAGGGAGGTGGAAGAAAAACTTATCCACATTGCCTGTGCTGCTCCGGTTTTATTTTCAGTTTCCACTCACTTTTGCTTTTAGTTATTGGTGTGCCTTTGTGGAAATTTCTAGCTCAACCGAGTAATCAAACCAGGTTAACTGGGTTTGGGGAACCTGGATCCCCGATCCCCAACATTTACAAGTATATAGTTGGTAAGAGACATGTGGGGCCCCCCTCATCTCATAAAAATGCAGGGTGCCCTTTCCAGTGGGCCCTACATGTCAACCTGTTCTTGTTCCCACTGTTGGCATGGGAACTTCTGTCGAGTGTGTTCACTGCTGAGTGAAGGTGAGCTGATGCTATCCTGGCAAAATGCTCCACTGTGCACAGAGACACCAGGCTGTCACCTATTCAGATACAGTGTGTGTGGCGTAGGGAATGAGGACAAGAGGAGGGATTGTGTCTGGGAGGGAGATGGGCTGGGCTCACACTGACCAGGTCTTAGCGGGAAGAGAGAGGGCTCTGGGGCCAGGGAAGGGAGGCAGTTGGGTGGAGCAGGCATGGCCCTGTGTTCAGGCCCCTGTAAACCAGGTGCGGCCCCCCAGCTCTCTCCTCCATCTCCTGGGAGACAGATGTTTTCCCAGTCTCATTTCCTGTACCCCATGGGCTGGTTACTTGGGATTCCAGTAGTGTCAGGTTTAGGCAGGCCTGGGAGGGAGATTGGGAACCCAGCAGAGGGAGGGGCGACCTAAGTATAGAGAGTGGGTCCTGAGCCTCACTGGCCCCTTCCACTTTGGAAATAGGACTGCTGCATTCCTCTCACCCAGAGAGTACTGGGTGGCAAGTGGGCAGCTGCTTAGGTGGAACAGGTAGTGCTGCTGACTCTCAGACTTGGGAGCAAACCATACAGCTCCTCAGCCTAAAACGTGGTGGCAGAGGGACAGAACCTAGAATGAATTGTGAAGGCTGGACTGACGGGAGATGGCAAGACCAGTCCCAGCTGTTTGACCCTGAGCATCAAGTACCACACTGAACATAAGAAAGGGCCCCCCTTTTGGGATGTCAGCCTTTTAGGGAGGCTGACTTTTTAACTACATGGTAGAAGGGCCCTGCTGGGCTGGAACTTCAGAATCAAGGACTGTCTTTCAGCAAGTCCAGATTCTTCTTATTCTAAAAGTGAGAAAGGTAGAGGTTGGAACAGAGCAAGGGGTAAAAACCCAGAAAAGAACTTTCTTTCTGAGGGACTTTTAGAAAGATACTTTCAAGATGAGTAAGAACCCAACATTGCAAAGGATCTTTCCTAGGTGATCTTAAACAACACGTGGCCCCCACCTGAGCTTGTTTGAGAGCTCTGGGAATTGTTAACACTTAGTGAGTGTCTATCAGTGGGCCAGACCTGGCTGAGGCTGGCATGATTCACTTCCATTAACCCCAGCTCCCCTTGAGGTGGGGCTCCCAGGGACTAAGCAGCATTCCCGTTTCATACACTCAATTGTAAACGGCAAAGCCAGGGTTAGAGCCCAGGTCTGTCCATGTGGCTATTCATTTAGCCCCACCCACGTTCTCTAGTTCTCCATGGGTTGTTACATGTGTTGTTTGGGCCTCTGCATGGTGGGTCAGGCCTGTCCTATAGCCCACTGGTGGCAGGCCCTCAGTGTGAGGTCTGGAACCCCAGAAAAGGACAAGCCGTGTTTGTGAGGGTGGCCTGGTACAGGGGGAGGCTGCCTGGGCCCACGCTCTCCATGCTGGTGGGAGAGGTATCTGCTGCAGGGTCAGTACAGAGAACACCAAAGACTGGAGGGCAGTGACCTGGGCTCAGGGCCTGGCCTCCCTAACCTGCTGTGGGTCATTAGGCCAGTCTTGGGCTTTGACTTCCTCATTTGTGAAATGGATACAGTAGGGGCTTGCTCGCCTTGCTGGTGTGGGGTTGGGTGAGTGGTGGGTGGGGTGGGCTTTTTTAGCTGTGCACATGGAAGAGACTGTCCTTTTTGGGTGTCTGGAAGTCACACATGGGTATAAATTGGGATCCTGTGAGTGTGTGTGTATTTTAATGCCCTGGTGCCTCCAGATATTTCAGTATAGCTTGCCAGTACTCGTGGTCTTCAAGGTAGAAATCTGTGAGTAAAGAAAGTAAGACAAAGAAAATAAGGAAAGACGTGCTGAAGCCAGTGGTGTGTTTAAGACATGCCACTGGGGCCTGTGTACTTAACTCTGAACTTCTGGAGAGCCAGCGCCATGAGGGAAACAGATTATGAGTTACCAGTTTCACTGTGTCCACTGGATCAAAACAAGCCTGTTACTTAGAGGAAGCAGGACCACTCCAGGAGCCATGTTAAGCTGTGAGCCCCATGCAGGGGATGAATGCTTCCAGAAAATACCCTGGCTGTGTCTGATAAGGGCCCACCCAGAGTGTCGGTGTGGCTGAAGCACATGGCAGCTCTGGGCAGAGGTGCTATAGCCCCAGGCAGACACAGCCACCACGTCCCAGAAGGCAGGGGGCTCCTCCCCAAGCAGTGAGTGGTCTGCTCAGTGCCAGACAATAGAGCTGAAATGTCCTCTCTCTGTGAGCCCAGGCTGAGCTTCATGGAGAGTACCTTACTTTTCCACCTGGACCAAATTGCACAACTGTCAACAGTTTACAAGGACTGCAACCAGCCTGTGTGCTAGCCATGTGAATGGCACAGGTCCCAAAGACAAGGGCCTTGGAAAGTGGAGATAAGTAAGGCCATGACCTTTCCCTCCTGGGTGCTGCCTCTCCCACGGGTCTGTTCCAGCCTCCTGACCTCTAGGCTGTGTCTGTCTGGCTCTCATGTGCCCTGGTCTACATACCCATGCCAGTTGTAGCCTGCTGCTGCCTTCCCACCTCTGTTCCTGCTGCCTATCACCTTCGTCTCTCCACTCTCCAATTAAGTCCCTAGAGAAGGATCTAATTGGGCCGATTCATCCTTTTCAACCAAGCCACATGGGTCACCTTCAGCCAACAGATAGGTGTCTTTGGAGCAGGTGCTGCCTGGGTGCATATATGGTACACCCCTTACCTCCCCAGGGCTGTGGAGGGCAGTGTTCCTCAGCAGCGGGCACAGATGTGGTATTCACCCCAAACATGTCTGACACACCACACAGGGGCATTCGAGCCTGCCAGCCCTTTCTAACCTACATTTGTGTTGGTCATTTCCAGGGCACATGTGGATTCCCAGTTACACCCTGGGCCAGCACTCCCTCTGATCCACACAATGGGGCCATGACACCAGATGCTCCTGGGGGCTCCTGTGCAGCTTTCACTTTGTGGATGATGGGTGACTACACGCTCTCTGACCACCCCCAACCCACGGAATTTCTCAACATCTATTTGGGAGACAACCTGCAGCCTGACCCAGGCACAAGCCTGAGGGACATGTGCCACCATCAGGATCCTTCTGGACCCCTCAGGCAAAATGCTGCTTCCCAGGGCTCTGGGACGGAGCTCACACACCCGGGGAGCTGCTCTTCCCAGGAGGAGCGCAGGCAGAATGTAGCATTGGGAGGGGCACCTGGTGACAGCCATCCTGTGGGGAGCCCAGGGCAGAACCCAGGCACATCCACGCAGGTGGTGTTCTGGGCAGGCATCCTGCAGGCCCAGATGTGTGTCCTGGACCTGGAGGAGGAGCTGGAGAAGACAGAGGGGCTCAGGGCTGAGCTGAGAAGATGCCTCCCCACAGTCCCAACAAACCTTCCTGGGGATGTGGGCCTGCTCAGCAGCGCCCCCGAGGAGGAGGACTCTGGGGAAGACAGCAGTGGACCCGAGGAGGAGCATCAGGCATGGCCAAGACAGGGAACCCCAGGCTCTTCCCCAGAGTGGGGTTCTGAAGAGGAGAGTCTGTTCTTCAATAATCCCCTCTTCCTGGAGAGCCCTTGCTCGGAGGCCAGTGCTTCTGGAGAATGCTTTTCCTGGGGGTTCCCAGACCCCCTCGCAGATGTGGAGACTGGACCTGAAAGCCCACAGACCTTGGAGCCCCCCCTCTTGGGAGGCTCAGTTCCACAGGAACTGGGAAGTGAGCCCGATTTGGAGGACAGCTCTGCTGATGCTAGTGGACACAGCACCCCTCCATTCCCCGTGCCCATCTATAAACCACACTCCCTCTGCTGGGCCCCAGTGGTCCCTGTTGAGGTGACTTCCACAGCCCCTCCTGGTCAGGGGGAGAGTGAGGTAAGCCTCATTCTGGGAACTGACCCAAGGATGTGCTGGGAACCCAGAAGGAAGGGTCTTCCTCTGGGCTCACTGGGCCCAGAACATTCTTTTCTGATGTAAGGACCTTTTGGGATCTGGAGTAATACAGCAGAAGATCAGGACCAGTGTGGCCTTCAGAATTATAGGGAATTTTATCAATGCCATGATGTCACCTGAACATGATGGCAATTAAGTCCACAAATGTCTCCAACTCTCCAGCTCCAAGGGGCTACGTCTAGATACGTTTGGAGAACAAACAGCTCCTTCAATTGCAGCGTGTTCCAGGCTGTTGTCAGAATCTTCCCCTCCCACTTCCAAGACATTCCCAACTGTATCAGGGAAGGGGGCAGCATGCAAGGGTGGCCTCTGCCCCTAAAGGAGAGAGATGTCTATTTTAGGAGTCCTGTCCTTTCTTTTCATGAGAGATTTTGGCATTTTGTTACTTTTTGTTCATCATCTTTTATTCTCCCCATCCACTGACAGTAGATCAGGCCTGTATGACAATGGTGGAGATTCCCTGTATCACTTAGGAATGAGGACAAGTTCTGTGAGACAGTAGGAAGCACAGATTTCCCAAGGAGGCCTTTGCTTAAGAGATAAGGAGACTCAAGATGGCAGAGGAAGCTGTAACTTTCTAATCTCTCAATTTCCTGAGAACAGCAGAGAAGAGCTGTTAACCAGAGCAGTTCTCACCTGAGCCCCAAGATCAGAGGAACTCCCTGGTATTGGCTGGCATCCCTTCCACCACTGGCCAAGGGTCCTGGTATGGGTGGTTAGGGCTCTGTCCTGTGCAGGGGCATTTTCTCAGGACCTCCTTGCTCTAAGCACTAAAGTTTTCAGAGGGAAGCCCAGAGATCCTTAAAGTTGGAGGTTGACACCATTCTGGGATGGTAGAGCCCACCCAGCCCAGTGCCTGAGGCTATTCCCTACACAGCCCCCCACCTGAGGGTTTGAGGCAGGGCCATCTGGGCAGACCAGGAAAGGAGGAGGCCTCCTGGGTTATGGGAAAGGCCCTGGGAGCAAGTTTCCTCTGGGAAAACCTCTCTGTCTCTCTCTCAGACTTCTCTGGGAGATATGCTTGGTCCTGCCCTGTCTGGAGCACACCTTGTGGGTAAAACGTTGACCTGGGAAACAGAACACCTTGAATCTCACCTTAGCCCTGCCACATATCCTGTGCAACCTTGGGCAAGTCACTTCCCCTCTCTGGGCCTCATCTTTTCCATCTTTAAAGGAGGAATGGGAGCCTGGTACCAACCACTCCTAGGATATGGGTCTTCTCCTGCATATTCAGGATCCTTCACTGGTGTCCACATGGTTTGCGGGGGAGGACGGCAAGGAGGGAGGGTTTCTGCTACCCCTGGAGTCCTTTCCTTCCCCTCCTTTCCTCTCCCTGCCTGGCCTCTCCCCCCACCCCTCTCAGTGCCTCCAGGGCTCTTGGAAACACCTGTGTCTCTGTCCTTAGGACTCTCCCAACCCTGAGAGCTGGCAGACCAAAGAAGGTCCTTCTAGGCCTCAGGTGCCTCGTATTTCCCAGGACAAAGGTGAGACCCAATATGGGGATCTGGGAACTTGGGAGATAACAGATTTTAGGATCTGAAGTGTAGACAAAGATCGTTGTTGGATCTATGTTATTAAGGGGGTCACACTGCATTGTACTGGAGCCAGACAGACTTGAAGTTAAACCCACCTCTGCCTCTGGGATTTCAACATTAAAATGGGTTTTTAAATATTTACAGATAAGTGAAGGAAATGTATAAAAGACTCATCTGTTTATTTTTATTTATTTATTTATTTATTTATTTATTTTGAGATAGTGTTTCACTATGTCACCCTCAGTAGAGTGCCATGGCATCACAGTTCACAGCAACCTCAAACTCATGGCCTTAAGCAATTCTCTTGCCTCAGCCTCCCAGGTAGCTGGGACTACAGGTGCCAGCCAGAACACCAGGCTATTTTTTTGTTGCAGTTTTTGTTGCTGTTTAGCTGGCCCAGGCTTCAAACCCACCAGCCTTAGTGCAGGTGGCTGGTGCTGTAACCACTGTGCTACAGGCACTGAGCCATCATCTGTTTATTTTTTCTAAGAGATTAGGGTCTTGCTGTGTTACCCAGGCTGGAGTGCAGTGGCAACATCATAGCTCACTGTAGGTTCCCACCCACCTAAGCCTCCTGAGTGACTGGGACCACAGGTGTGAGCCACCTGCCTCTAGACTCAGCATTTTTGATGCCTGAGGCTTAGTGATTTAGCAGAGGTCCTGCCCTTAGTTGCCTCAGGGCAAGAGCCCAGGAGCCTACTCTGCCTGTGGGGGAGGTCACTGGCTGAGAAAGGGACAGGGCGTGCTGCCCGGCTCCAGGGGAGGAGCCCCACAGGTGCCTCCAGCCCTGTAACCTGCTTCATTCTAGGTTCTTCCTCAGGTGACAGTGACGCTGGGAACCCCCAGGAATCTGCTCTCTGCACTTTGGCTGCTCCCAGTCCCTGGGAGAGCTCAGCTTCTTCACCGGATCCTAGCAGCCCCGTGTCTGAGGGCACAGGCCCTGGTCCCAGACCCAGCCCTGCATCATCCCAGGAGGGCAGCCCAAAGCTTCAGCGCCACAGCTTGGGCACCTCTCCCAAGTGGACACTAGATGCCTCATACTCCTCACTCTTGGAGACAGATGGGTCAGAGCCAAGTTCCTTGGAGAAAGAGGAGGTGGGGGAGGCCCCAAGCCCAGGGGAGGAAGTAAGGAGTGAAGGCACCATCAGGCCTGAAAAGGCTGGAGGCTCCCAGCCCAGCGTTCACCTGACTCCTGCACAAGGGTAAGTCTGAGACTGGTGCTCTGGCTCCTAATTATGGATGCATTAAGAATATCCTAGTCTGGGTTCAGTACCCAAAGTACAGTGGTTACAGCACCAGCCACATATACCAAGGGTAGTGGGTTTGAACCTGGCCCGGGCCAGCTAAACCGTTGTGGCAGATGCCTGTAGTCCCAGCTACTTGGGAAGCTGAGGCAAGAGAATTGCTTAAGCCCAAGAGTTTGAGGTTGCTGTGAGCTACGATGCCACAGCACGCTACCTAGGGTGACAAAACAAGACTCTGTCTCAAAAAAAGAAAACAACAAAAAGAATATCCTAGTCTGGATGGAGCATAAGGAATACACATTGGGATTTAACATACTACTATTTGTTAAGAAGGATAGGGCTTAAATGCATCAGAAATGACAGGGCAGACAGTCATACTTGTGGGGGCAGAATCTTAGTGTGCTGGGGTAGGGCCATAAGAGAAGTGCCCACAGGTAGACACCAACCAAGAGAGGAGGAAGAGGAAGAGGTGTTCAGGGAACCTAGCCAGGGCCATGTGATCAGAAAAACAGGATCTGTGTTCAGCAGGTAGGGGAGTGGAAGGGGAGAGCTTGTGATTTGAGCATTAGAAACTTCTTTGAATTTGAGGAGGTTTCTGGGAGGAACTTAGCAAAGAGTGCAGACCCGGGGTGCAGGCTCAGGGCTCACCAAGCAGAGGTCTGGTGGGAACCAAGGGAATGGATATCAGGACCCCTCATAGGCTTGTGTAACCCCAGCGCTGTGACCAGTGGTAGGGATGGGCCAAGTGGGAAGCCAGGCTAGACGTCCATCTGTGCAGGGTGAGAGACTATCAGCCCCTGGGATCTCTACACTGGAAAGGGAGTTTTGTTCTCTGGCTGTCTGAACGGGGATCATATCGAAGAGATGTGGAGGAACCAGCAGTGGGGCAGTAACTGGAGGGTTAACCCCACTCTCTCATCTTAGTGGCCTTGGGTGGTGGTGACAGAATGTTAAGTCAGTGCCAGAAACCGAAGAGCCATCTTCCTTATGCACCTGGAAACTAGGTTGCCCTGGGGATGTTCAGAGGCTTGGTAACCAGAGAAGTCCCAGCCTCTAAAAAGGGAGCCAAACATTTAACTTCATCCAACCCCAAACAAGAGTAAATTCCTCCAATATGAGAACCATACTTTCACAGGAAACAATGAAAAAGGCTTAATTGGTGATTCATCTTGGTAAATGACACTGAATATTATATAAATAACTCTATTTAATCTTATATTTAACTCAGCAAAGGAAGTTTAATTTTCCCAGCACAAATTTGCTGATTTGAGATATCTTTCACTCATGTTTGATTTTCCCAGTGAGGTTATAAAGGTCATTTATTTAAATAACAGCTTTAGTGAGGTATAATTCACATACCATACAATTCACTCAAAGTATACAATTCAATGACCGTTTATATGTGCATATTATTTTTTTCCAAAGTACTTCCCTATCTTATTTTGGTAACAATGCTAATTATTTATTTATTTATTTATTTTTTAAGAGACAGAGTTTCATTTTATTGCCCTCAGTAGAGTGCCATGGCGTCACAGCTCACAGCAACCTCCGGCTCCTGGGCTCAGGCAATTCTTTTGCCTTAGCCTCCCAAGCAGCTAGAACCACAGGCATCTACCACAATGCCCAGCTATTTTTTTTGTTGTAGTTTGGCTAGGGCCGGGCTTAAACCCACTACCCTCAGTGTATGGGGCCAGCGTCCTACTCACTGAGTCACAGGTGCCTCCCTAATTGGTCATTTATTAAATAATACTGTATTATATTTTAATTATTTATTTATTTATCATTTTTTTGAGACAGAGTCTCATTTTGTTGCCCTTGGTAGGGTGCCTTGGTGTCATAGCTCACAGCAACTTCAAGCTCTTGGTCTCAAGCAATCCACTTGCCTCAGCCTCCTCAGTAGCTGGGACTACAGGTGCCCTCCACAATGCCAACCTCTTGCTCAGGCTGGTCTGGAAATCTTGGGCTCAGGTAATCCACAGGCCTCAGCCTCACAGATTGCTAGGATTACAGGCATGAGCCACTGTGCCTGGCCTATAATATGGACTTCAAGTAATTCTCTTTATATGTGACAACTGGGTCCTTATTTTTATTTTCTCCTCTTCCTTGTTCATTGGACTAACTGTTCTGGTCCCTCATTTGTCAGTGGATTTCCATGTCCTGGAGTCTTACATACAGTGTCTCTTTCATGGATTTTATGAAATCCTTTTTTTTTTTTAACCAGACTTGAAATTTTACTTTTTCATTAGTTTCTGTTGCATTTGTCCTGCATTATGGGATATTTATGAGCCTCAGGAAGCAGTGAGAAGTCATCAGCAAAGACCCTGACCAGTTCATTTTAGGGGGAGAGGGTGGTTGACTGAAGCCTAATGATATAAATGGTCAATTGATGAGTGAATATTTTCATATTATGATAACTTTTGCTTACCTGTACAACTCCCTAACTATGCTAACCGGATAATGAATGTTTAAATGACTAGGGTACCCCATACTTGTTTGTTTATAGTGGAGTGGAAACAGAAGAGTCAAGGGGAGATTAGAGTGAGTGGTATCTGAGGGTCTTAATTCTAAACTCGGAGTGTTCTCTAGGTCTGCTGGGGGTTGCTGCAGGGGGTTTCACCGGTCACCCCGTTTTCCTTGTTGTGTGACTACCAGGTTGGGGAAAGGAGAGACTGGGGACTACTTCCAGGACTCCCTCAGCTGCTGGCATTTCTAAAGCTAGTCTAACTTCCTATTCTCTGCCCCATAATTCCAGCTATGTAGGCTCCAGATCTAGGAGTGGAGGCTGGAGCTGGGAGGTAGGGAAGGGACGAGGAGATGTGTAAGGATCACAGGGGAGGGAGGGAGACAATCCCATCTATCTTGGGTTAGACAGATACCACGGGGGTCCTCAAAGGGTTGTACCTGTCACCCAAGGTGAGAGAAGCCCAGAACCTCCTGTAGTTTATCTGAGGAAGTGCAGGGCACCCAGCTTGGCTCCAACCCTCGTTGCCTTGTGTAAATACCTTCCTGTCTGGGTTCCACAGGTCCTGGCCTGGCCAGGCTGGTTTGGTTGTAACTCTGCCTCCTCCCTGCTCCTCTAGGCCCCTTCAGTCAAGGCTCTTGAGCTCCAGCTCCGACCCTGAGGCTGGTTCACTCCCTACCACGAATGACCTGAAAGGACACTTGACCCAGAGCCCCTGCATCTCCACTCCAAGCGAGAGCCTGAGAGCACCACTGGACTTTTCCAGGCTTCCTGAGGGCCCCATGCCCCGAGTACAGTCCCCAGAGGAGGACCAGAGGCCATCAGCTAGAGATAAGCTAGCTAATGGCATCAGGAGTGACAAGGTGGCCTGGAACTTGGCCTCACGCCTCTATCACCTAGATGGCTTTCGGAAGTCTGAAGTGGCTGCCTACCTGCAGAAGAAGTAAGGGGCCCTGAGAATGAGGCAGGCCTGAGGCTGAGGCAGGAGATGGAGGAGCTCCTGCTGGGCTCCCTCACTAGCCACTCTGATGTCCCCTCTGCCCTTTCTTCCCATCATCCCCTCCTGGTCAGTCCTATCCCCCATCCTTACTCTCCCCTTCCCTGGCCGTCCCTGCTGCTGCCTCGTATCATTCCTTCTCCATACCTGCCATCCTTGCTTAGCACCCTGGACCCTACCACCTTGCCAACCCAGACTGCATGGTCCCTCCCACTCAGCACTGGATGCAGGTGTAGGTCCCTCTGAGACCTCAGGTCCAGCTTGGCTGTGCCTTTCTCCTGCTCAGCTCCTACCCTGTTAGACCCCATGACATGTGCCAGCCCTGGGAGCCCTCTGCTTCTGTGGTCCTAGCCCAGACCCCTGGTGCAGGCTTCAGCCCTGTTTCCCCTCTGCAGCAACGAGTTTAGCAGGGCGGTGGCTGAGGAATACTTGTCCTTCTTCCAGTTTGGAGGCCAGAGCCTGGACCGAGCCCTCCGGTAATGCCTTTGGGCCCTTCCTATGGGAGGCTATAGAGGAGGGATGGCCCTGGGGCCCTGTCCTTGACTCTGGCACTCCTTGGCAGGGGCTTCCTCCAGGCCCTGGTGCTCAGTGGGGAGACACAGGAACGAGAACGAATCCTCTACCAGTTTTCTAGACGCTTCCACCACTGTAATCCTGGGGTCTTCCCCTCGGCAGGTAAGGAGGGGCCAGACATGATGGGGAGTTCACTGGGGGGCAGCTGGTGAAAGTACTGGAGGCTGTGGAGTATGGAAGCATTCCAGGGTGGCAAGGTCAGCAGGAATGCTGCCACCCTGGAATGCTTTAGGGACAGGAGAAACAGAGGAGCCCTGAGTCCAATGAGCTTTTTCTCCCTCACCTCTTTGGGGCAGATTCTGTACATACCTTGACATGTGCAATCATGCTCCTTAACACGGACCTGCATGGACAGGTAGGAAGGTGGGGAGAGTGCCTGTGGGAATTGAGGCAGGGGCCAGTGTGCAGGTGAGGGGAGGAGACCAGAGGCCTGGGATGGGTCAGGGAAGGGTGTGGGCCTGGGGAACTGAAGTGCCTGGCTGGGGGTTATTCTATTGAATGGGGTGTGTGCTTGAGCCATCCCTCTTCCTTCCGTGGCCACAGAACATCGGGAAGAGTATGAGCTGCCAGGAATTCATAACCAACCTGAATGGCTTGCAGGATGGTGGCAACTTCCCCAAGGGGCTGCTGAAGGTATAGCACACTGGGGCCTTCTCCCCATTTGAACCTTGAAGCCTTTGTTCCTTATCCTGAGGGTAATGTGGAGCTCAGGCCTGGCTCTGCGGAAATATCCTTGAGAGGCCAGGGCTTGTTGATGGAAGGACTACTAAACAAGTGGTCTCTGGTTGGCCTCCCCAGTGGAATATTGGAATTTGTTAGCCATGCCAATCCACAGGCCCCCTGTCCTGGGCCTTCTGACTCAGACACTGTGGGAGTGGGACCCCTGAAATGTTTTATTACATTTCCAAGTGATTCTTACCTCTCTGAAGTAGAGAAACACTGGTTTATTAGTTCTCGGAGTGGACAAAGGGCAAAGCTTCAGATGGCAAAGGTCTAGAGCTCAGACTTGGAAGTCTGGTGTTCCTGAGTTTGAATTCTAATCTTGGACAATTTACCCATTGGCCAACTCAAGTTCCTCCTGGAGGCATAACCACCTTAAATGTCATCATTCAGATGAGATAAAACTGGCCAAGTGCTTGGCACACAGCATGTGTTTCACAGGCAATTATATCATTTCCTCTTTGTGCATTGCTTAACAAGAGGGACAGGTTCTGAGAAACAAGTCATTAGGCGATTCCTTTATGATGTGGGCATCACACAGTGTGCTTTGTGCTTCCACTAGCTAGATGATATAGCCTACGCATGCCTAGGCTACCAGCCTGGACAGCATGTGACTGTGCCAAATACTATAGGCAACTGTAACATGATGGTAAGGATTATGTACTTTTATATATGTATATATATGTATATATATATAAACATAGAAAAGGTACATTAAAAATATAGGGTAAAGGATAAAAAATGTACCTGTTTGGGGCAGCTCCATTGTAACCTTTGGGACTACCATCTCATGCATATCCTTATTGAAAATACCGTTATGCTGTTATGTAGCATATGACTGCATTTAGTGAATGTAGCCACTGCAAGGACTATAACAACAAGCACGATATATCTACATTAATACGATTTGTTACTATTTCAAAGTTCTAGCACATTTATTTCAGGGGGTCATCTAATTCCCATTTCCCCTTAAGGAAACTAGTTCAGGCCTCACTAAGCTCAGGCAGGGCAGGGACTTGGCTGTCTTGATCATCTCTATGTCCGGCACCCAGCACAGTGCCTGGCACATGGGAAATACTTGGTAGATACTTTAAGGCCTGGATGGAAGGATGGATGAGTGGATGCTTGCCTGATCAAGAAGAAGGCAGCTGTGTCGGGGTTGAGGTGACAGGCTGTGCACATGCCCCTATCCTACCATAGCTGACAGAGGTTCCTTGCCCACTGTGTGCTTCTGTTCCAGGCCCTCTACTGGTCTATCCGCAGCGAGAAGCTCGAGTGGGCTATGTGAGTGAGCATCCCTCTCCCCCTCCCTTGCCCCTATCTGTGGACTGTCCTTTCTCTGTCATCCACCTGAGAGCTGGAGAAGCTCAGGGTCCTAGATAGTGTTCACCCTACATAGTGAGTAGGGTGGAGCCAGGGGCAGGGAGCTGGGCTGGGCTCAGAGAGGGTCCAGGAGCCGAGGTAAAACTAGAAAGGCCAGAGGTAGTTGAGGTTTGGGGGTGGGAGGTAATGGCTGTGTTTTCAGAAACTGTTGGGTTGGCTTTGAAGGAGAACTCCTTTTGGGGGTCCTGGGTGTAGCTCCATAGCAAGGGAGCAGGCACTGAGGCCCTGGGAAGCAACAGACACCTCCCAGTGGTCTTTGCCCAGTCATCACTCCCAGCCTAATTCTCTCATGTGCAGGGATGAAGAAGACTCAGCCAGACCTGAGAAGGCCCTGTCATCCTCACCAGCTGGCAAGATGAGCAGCCCCTTCCTCCAGCTGGCTCTGGACCCCATGGTGCCCACCTACAAGCAGGGCATCCTGGCTCGGAAGATGCATCATGATGCAGATGGCAAGAAGAGTGAGTGTCTGCTGCCCAGAACAGGGTGGTGTTCTCAGTGGCCCTGCTCAGGCACCTGTGGTGATGAATGCATGGGTGTGCAGAGAGATGGCCTGTGTCTAGGACAGGCAGCCCATGTTCCTTCTTCATTCAGTGTGTCCAGAATGGTGACTGCATGCCAGGTGCAATGTAAGGCTCTGGGGCATGTGGTAGCCCAATTATTTCTGGGCCACAGAGCCCCTGTAACAAGACAGAAATTATACAAGCACACCAATGTCTTGGATAAAAGGTGGAGCTGAGTGTGTAGGGAGGGCTAGATCAAGTGAGGAGGGAAAGATTTTGGTTTTGGTTTTTAAGGCAGGATGTGGGGACAGGGCTAGATAAGTTTTCTGGAAATCATGGTATCAGGACTGAACTTGGAGGGTAAGAGGGTCTGGATTTTTGAAGTTGAGTAGAAGGTACTCAACGTCTACTCCAAAGAGAGAAAAAAAGAGTAAGCAGAGTTTGCTCAGGATATGTGGTGTGTGAAAGGGAATGTTGGGAAGTGTGTTTAGGGAGAATTTTCCAGAGTCTGCATTTGGGCCTCATTTCCCAGGCATGGAAGGTATTTGAGCAGGACAGCAATAGGACCAGGGCACGATCTAGGCAGACTAATGCAGAATCACATATTGAATGGGGTGGGGCCACCAGGAAGGGAACTTGCTTTGGCTATGAGAAGCCAGAGGGTCCTTGGTGGGGCCCCAGGGAGGTGACCACAGGGAATCAGGCCTTCTGCCAAGGAGCTTAGAATGGGTCTTACCCCACATAGGTGGGGAGGTGGGTGGGAGCACACAAAGGGGGTGGTTGCTCAGCGTAGGGTATAGGGGGAAGCACACCCAAGGCTGGGACCTGAGCCCCTAACCCCTCTGGATGGGTACCCAAACCAAGATTATCTTGCAGGGACCAGAGAAGTGTCTGAGTGGAACTTTGTGGCTGGTGTGTTTGTATGGGGTTATGGGTGGGAGGGGGAAGGGGATGTTCTGTATGAACATCCTCAGTTGAGGATGAATAGTTCTGTCTGGTTTTGTTCCCAAGCGGGATTGCCAAGTGGAGAGATCTGCACATTTGTGACTGTATGTGTTTTCTTGTGTTGGTTTGCTCTGTGTTTTTGCACATCCTAGAGGGACTTGGAGGAAGTGTGAGAGGTGGGGGTGTGTGACTGTGCACACTTGTGTGTGTCTGGATGTGAGTGGTACCACCCACCTTTGTGTTCTGTTCCTGGAAAAGCACCGTGGGGCAAGCGTGGCTGGAAGATGTTCCACACCTTACTGCGAGGGATGGTTCTCTACTTCCTGAAGGTAGGAAGGGAGTCCACAGCAGCACCCCACCTCCATCCCCCACCCCCACCCCCGAATGCAGAACAAGGCCAGGTCAGAACTGTACTGTGGGGGAGGGTGGGCAGCTAACAAGGCCGTCTCCTCTGAGCCCCTGTGCCCCGTGCAGGGAGAGGACCACTGCCTTGACGGGGAAAGTTTGGTGGGGCAGATGGTGGACGAGCCCGTCGGGGTACACCATTCGCTGGCCACCCCAGCCACCCATTACACCAAGAAGCCGCACGTCTTCCAGCTGCGGACTGCCGACTGGCGCCTCTACCTCTTCCAAGCTCCGTAAGTCCCTTGTTCTCCTCCCCCTGACCCTGTTGCCCCAGGTCCTGGTGGGCATGTCATACTGACCAGGAAACCTTAGAATGCTGCCCCGGGAAGAGAGGCAGGATCGAGCCCGGGGGCTTCCGGCCCTCCTCCTCTGCCCACGTGGCTGCTATTGCCAGTGCATTAGCCTTTTCCTTGTAAATCAGATCAGGCCTCCCAGGTCTGAACAAGGAACTCCAGGAAGGTACTGACAAGTGATCACTGTTGGTATTTGATATAAAATCTACTGCCTTCCTACCCTGACCCCCATAAATGCATCTATGTACAAAGTTATGATTTAATAAAAAATAATTTTAAAAAAACTGCCTTCCCAGATGGTCCTCTTTACACACACACACTCTTTCAGGTTAATGTGAGGGTACAAACAACTAGGTTACAATGTTTACATTTGTTAGGTAGAGTCCTTCTTGTAATTGTGCCCTGCTTTGACAAATAAGAAAAGCCCTGGGCGGAGGTCAAGCATGTTGCTAGTGGCTGGCGGGTGGAGGGGGCGTTACGGGACCTACTGTGTCCCTGGGGCCTGACGACCTCCTCTGCCCACAGCACTGCCAAGGAGATGAGTTCCTGGATTGCGCGCATCAACCTGGCCGCTGCCACGCACTCTGCACCACCCTTCCCCGCCGCCGTGGGCTCCCAGCGCAGATTTGTGCGGCCCATCCTGCCGGTAGGCCCGGCCCGGAGTTCCCTGGTAAGGCCTTTGGGAAGGCGCGGTGGGCGGAGAGGGGTGTGCACCTGGAGCCCGGCCTGGAGGTGGGGGGGATGCACGTTGGGCCGGACGGGAATGGAGGGGCGGGCTCTGACAGCTTCCTCCACCATTCGACTCCCAGGAGGAGCAGCATCGATCCCACGAGAACTGCCTGGATGCTGCCTCAGACGACCTGCTGGACCTGCAGAGGCACTTACCTGAGCGGCGGGGCCGCAGCCGTGAGCTGGAGGAGTACCGCTTGCGGAAGGAGTATTTGGAGTACGAGGTGAGGTGGCCCCAGCCTACTGCGCCGTCCCTCCCCGGCCCGCGGCGCCCTCTCGTGGCTACCTTGGTGCACCCCCTGCAAACGTGCACAAAGTTTGTGTGTTTCCGTCTGCACTGACACCCCTTCACCTTTTGTCCTATAGGCACATAGAAACTGCTTGTCTGGGAACATTCATAAGAGGACCCAGTTCCCCCACTCCTAAGAGTATATATGGCTTTTCCTAAATGAAAGGAAAAACTATTTTAGCTGAATTATTCCCTCTCAAACCTACATGATAACAGTAGGTAGTATTTATGGAGCTTGTATTACTTGCATGGATTATTTCATTTAATTATCTTACAACTCTGGGGTATGTACTATTACCCTCATTTTACAGATGAGGAAACTGAGGCATAGGTAGATTAAACAACTTGTCCAAACCTGATACATTTACATGCTCCAAATGCCTCATTTGTGGTCTTAACTAAGGAGACAAAGTCTCACTCTGTTGCCCTGGGTAGAGTGCCACGGCATCATAGTTCACAGCAACCTCAAACTCTTGGGCTTAGGAGATATTTTTGCCTCACCCTCCCCAGTGGCTGGGACTACAGGTGCCTGCCACAATGCCTGGCTAATTTTTCTATTTCTAGTAGAGATAGTCTGATCTTGCTCAGGCTGGTGCACCTGCCTCAGCCTCTCCGAGGGCTGGGATTACAGGCATGAGCCGCTGCCCCCGCCTCCCAGAATGAACAGCCTTTAATAGCTCTATGATAATTGTTGAAATGTTTTATGCCCTGGTCCCCTCCCCCCCACCTACCTATACAGCCCGATTCTGCTTAGCCTTGTGTCAGTGCTCATTCTGGGAACCTAATACTGAGTGCCCACTTCAGGGGGCCTAGGTGTCCTGCTTAGGGTGGGAGTGCCTGCAGGGCAGGGAGGGCAGGCAAGGTGCAGTGTGCAACCACTAAAGACTGGGGAGGGGCATCAACAGCAGCTCCTACTTGTGCCCACAGGGCCCTCCTACAGCCCTCTCCCACCCTTTCTGCCTGTTTTTAAACACCCTGACCATCCTTTGGCTTGTTGATTATATCCATGGCTGTGGGGACCCAAACTCTTCTTGCCTCCGGCAAGCTGGGACCTTTACTAAGCCACTGGCTCTCCTCCTCACAGAGATTTGCCTCCAAAAAATATCCCAGGCTAGGATGAGGAGCCAGTGGGATGGATGGTGGGAAAGAACCTTATAAACTGGGAACTGTATCCTAAGGATGCCAGTTACAGAGGTCTTTGGAGCCTGTGTTAAACAGACGAGAGTAGTTAGCATCACATTGTACAGATGCCAGTTGTTAAAATGCTATTCAGAATCAATTAGGTCTCAGTATAGTTGTGAGCTGTGCTCAGGGCTGCAGAGATCAGAGGCATATAGGTTATACTTCTTTTATTGCTTCTTTGGAGATGTAACATGCTGCAAAATGTTGGTTGGTTATTATTAGAAAGGACTGGGCTGATATGTGTCACTATAGTGCTATTCAGAGGTATGCCCTGCAAAGTCTAGTGGCTCAGGTGCTACACAGACATTTTCTATTGACCCAGCCTTCTGTCTGCAGAGGTCCAACTCACCATAGCTTCATATACCTGGGTGGGTGGGTGGGGCTGTGTCTCAAGATTCCAACATCCTCCTGACCCAGCTGTGATGGTGCTAAGGTGGTGGTGCCTGTGTGTTACAGAAATCTCGCTATGAGACCTATGTGCAGCTGCTGGTGGCCCGCCTGCACTGCCCGTCTGAAGCCCTGGACCTGTGGGAGGAGCAGCTGGGTAAAGAAGCTGGAGGCACACGGGAGCCCAAGCTCAGCCTGAAGAAGTCCCACTCGAGCCCATCCCTGCACCAGGATGAGGCCCCCACCACTGCCAAGGTGAAGCGCAACATCTCAGAGCGCAGAACCTATAGGAAGATCATCCCCAAGCGGAACCGCAATCAGCTGTGAAGCTGGTGCCCCTCACAGACACTGGTCAGCTGTGAAGCCGGTGCCCCTCACAGACACTGCTACCTGTTCTGGAGTACACCTGAGATGAACCTCTGTGTGTGTTGTGGGCAGGGGACTAATTTCAATGGGTCCATGACAAGAAATGAGCTATGTCCTTTCCCTGCTGAAAAACCCTTGTTTCCTGTCGTTCTCATATATAGTCCCAAGGGAAGAGGGAGTTGAGGACTTGGCTCTACTCCCAGAGTTTGTCCCATGTCACTCTCTATCCCCTGGAATCTAGAGTGGGCTCATATCTTGGGTCTGGTGGCACTCAGCATTTCAGAGTTAGAGCACATATAGCTTCTGGGAGAGAGTTTGGGTCAGCAGAGGCATCTGAGCAGTCCAGCCAGGAGACCCACATCCCCCAGAATGGTCTTGCTGTGAGAAATACGTGGTGTGTTAAGGGAGGCCCCAGGAGAGCAGGTCAGGGACTCCTGGGAGCAGGATCACTGAGGGCCTGACCACTGAGGGCCTGACCACTGAGGGGACAGCCTTCTGCACAGGGACCTCTGCAGGCTTCAAGGGCTATGTGAGGCTGTGAAACCCCAGGTCTTTGTCTCCTGGCTCCTTTCCCCCTATTATTATCCATGCGCAGGGGCAGATGAGAGCCTCACACGCCCAACTGCTGGTCAGTAGAGCAGAGCCGAGCATGTGAGCAAGGGCCAGGAGGGTGGAGAGCCCTGGAGCCCTGGCACAAGCAGTCTTTGTTTCCCCAGAGCAGGAAAAAGGTTCTCCAGGTTCAGACCACTAGAGAGTATGGAAAGGTAAAAGAAGGTGACAGTCCCCCCTTGGTGGTCTGTGGGCATACAGCTATGGAGAGTTGTGAGGGTGGGATGGGAGCTAGGGACCAGGGGGGGCCTATGCTAGGCTCAGGAGACCACTTCATGTGTCCCTTCCTACTCAGTGCTGAAAGCTTTTTTTCCTGACTGGTACCAGGACCTCTGTCCACCCCAGGGTCAGCTCACAGGGGCTCTACTGCTCTCACCTGGGAAATCCCCCTGCCCTGTCCTCTGGCTGCCTCCCAGCTGGGCCTGTTCTCTGGGGAAGGTTCCGGAGACTCATGGATGTGGGGCTCTGCCTGTGGGAAGGAGCTGGGCTGGAGGGAGCAGCCACCATTGTCTCTGTTCAGCCAAGTGTGCGAGCAGGCAGCCCGCCAAGAGGGGCCCGCTGCTGCTGCCCGCTGCCACTGCCTGCCGCTGACGCACTGCCTCTCCTGCCTTCCTGCTGGGCCTCCATCCTCCCTCCCATGCTTGGGATCAGCTCGGGGCCTGGAACTCCACAGAGTGGGGCTGGTCTGCAGGGTCTCTGGCCATGGCAATAAATACAGACCAACAAAGAAGGAGGAGTGCATTAGTGTGTGAAGAAAGGAGGGTCGGTGTAGAGGCTGAGTCCCCTCTGCCCCACGCGCCCCTGGCTGTCTGTGCCAGTGTGCACAGCATCATGTCTGTGTGCTCATGCACACACACAGTTACAGGCCACCAAAGCTGGAGGGGCCCTCTGAATCATGTATTCATCGACTCGTTCTTTCATTTCACCAATACAACTGAACACTGTTTATGGGCCAGTACTAGGGGATTTACAGATGAATTAAACATGTCCCCGACAATCCTGCCCACTGGTTCCCAGCTGTCAGTCTGCAGACATAATTTATCTTGCTGGGGAAGCTGACGGATGCATTCCTGGCCCACACCTTAGGGGTCTGATTCAGTAGGCCAGAGTCAGGGATGGATATATATACTTACAGCCCCTTGGGCCACTCTGACACGTAGTAGCAGTTAGCAGCCAGGGTCAGGTCCAGGTGTATTGTTTTATTGAGATGGATCCATAGCATCCAAGTGGACATAACTTTGCCCAGGATTGTACTCACAAGCCAAATGACCTTGAGTGGGTGATTTGACCTCATTAGACATGTATTCTTATTTCTAAAACCAGAATAGAAGGTAGAGGTTTGTTTGCATGTATGTGTGATACTGCGATGCTCCTATGCTCATGTAGAATGGGCACCTCCCTTTCGCCTGGGCACATAGAGCCTTTAGACCAGGTGAAGGTGGCTGCCTGGCCTCCCCAGTCAGTGCTGCCAGGGCACCCCTGCCTGTGGGGCTGAGGACTGGGGCCAGGCCGTGGGCTGCAGTTGTGGCATAAGGCCGCTGGGGGGCAGGCTTTAGCTTTCTAGCTTCTGCTGCTCAGGTATCTGTCCAGCTACAGAACTGTGTTCATGGAAAGGCAGGAAGTTATTCTGTGTGTTTCTGTGCCATCATGAGAACTGCGGCCTTCAGTTTCCCAAAACCCACAGTGGCCTGTGCCAGGATTGCTTCCATCTGGGAAGCCTCTCCCAAGCCAAGGGGTGGGACTCTGGCATCTTCCTGCAGATGGAGAGGAAGAAGTGTCTCAGCCAAGAGCTTTGCAAGGTGGTGTTCCAGGTGGCCCATGGAAGTGGACACTGGGTGGTTCCCAGTCCCAATCCCGGGTGTGGAACAGATCAAGCCATCACAGAACCTTTGGAGGACTGCGTCTGACCTTGTCTCCACCCCACCCTCCCTTCCCCCTGCATGGAGGGTCAGTCCTTCTCTTTACAGGGGAAGGCACTGGACACAGGTGCTTGGTGAGGAGCTCTGGCTCCAGAGGGGTGGTTGGAGTTTGGCTTCAGCCTTTCCCTTACCGTCCAGGGGAGCTCAGTCTCCAGGAGTTTAGACCTACTGTGACCCAGGATGACACCCTTGATGTGACCCCTCCCTACCCTCTCCCCATCTCTGCTTGACCTGGCATTCTGCTGATATTATTCATATTTGTTGTTTGCCAGATACCAGGGAAGGTTAAAAGATCATTAAGGCCTGAGGCCTGGATCCTTTCTCTTGGCGGCTCAGATTCTTCTAGAGATGGAGACAGACACAGAGTTGTGTCAGGGTTGAATGGAACTGGGCTGGAGGGTCAGGGTGAGAGTGGCTGAGGGAAATAGGGCAGTCACGGTGGCCTGAGTCCAGATCATACAGAGTTTTGAGTGCAGCCAAGGAGTGTAGCTTTCTATGAATGTGCAGTTTCTAAGCAGAAGAGTAACAGGCTCAGGGCTTGGGAGACGGCCTGAGAGCTTTAAGAAGATGTAATGACTTAAATAAGCAAGGCCAACAGGTAGGTTTACAGTATGTCCTGGGAATGCACTGTTCTATCTGTACAACTTTTATGTAAATATGGAATTATTTCAAAATAAAACATCAAAAGGAAAAGGATTATGGCCTGGGACCTTGGGAAAATCTGGCTATACCTGATCCTTCCCCCTCTCTTGTCCTCCTGTTCTACCTCCACGGGCACAAGGGTTAAAGGGTTTTCCAGGGCAGCGCCTGTGACTCAGTGAATAGGGCATCAGCCCCATATACCGAGGGTGGTGGGTTCAAACCCAGCCCTGGCCAACTGCAACAAAAAATAGCTGGACATTGTGGTGGGCGCCTAACCCAAGGCACAATAGAATCGCCTAAGCCCAAGAGCTGTGATGTGAGCTGTGATGCTACAGCTCTCTACTGAGGGTGACAAAGTGAGACTCTGTCTCTTAAAAAAAATAAAAAAAAAGGTTTCCCAAATGGCCCCTATCTCAAGCTTCCTGCCCACCAGCCCCTCTGTCAGCACCTTTGTCCCCAGCTCTTCTGGATGCCCACACCCCTCACCATCTAACCATGCTCCCCTTTCCCTCCTCCAGAGGGAGAAGTGCCTTCTGCAGGCCTGAGACCGACTGCCCCCTCTTCTGCATGCCATGGAGCTCTCTCCCTCAGAGTCCCCTCAGGATCTCTGGGTCTACCTCTGTCCCCTCTGCTTTCTTGCCTTGCGAACATTTTCAAGGAAGACTATCATGTGGATAAAGAAAAATCAAAGCCCACTTTAGACTCTGCTGCTTCCTGTCGCTGAGACCTGCTCCTTCCTTCCTATGTGTGATCTTTGCCAGCTGTTCTCTTCCCTCACCTTCTTCGTTTTCCTACCTGGCTGTCAATGACACCTTACAAGTTGGCTTCCACCCTACTCCTTCCTGAAACATACCCTCCCAGGGCTACTCATAACCTTCAAACTTCAAATCCTATATCTTCCCAGCTTTCATCCTCCCTCTCCTCTCAGTGACCTTTGACCTTGCTGGCCACATAGACCTTGTACCAAAGTTCAGCTGATCTGGCCACAGAAGCCAGGCCCTGGAGTTGGATAGCGTGGGCTTGAGTCCCAGCTGCACCTTTTCTAGCTGTTTGACCATGGCCCAGTTATTTAAGCTCTTGTGCTGTTTGCTTCTCTACAAAATGGGGATAATAACACTACTTATGTCACAGGATCCTCGTGAGGACTGAGTGAAATTATTCACGTAAGCACCTCAGAACAATGCCTGGCACAGAAGGAAAGCCTGGCGAGGTTAGCTATTAGCACACAGCCTCTCTGGACTTCCCCCATGCACCCTCCCTTCTTCTGGGCCCCGGCTCAGGTCCTGCCCTCAGACTTGCCGTCCTGCTTTGATGCTGGGCCTCTGCCCTTGGCTTTTCAAATGCCTGGAGGTTGCAAGTACCACATCTTAGCTCAAATGGGTAATAACAGGGATGTCTCTAATCATTGCATCGTCTGTGTCCAGGTCAGGTGTGGCTTCTAGGGCTCCACACTGATCCAGGGTGCCTTTTTTCTCTAGCTCCTCTGAGACTTCATCTCCCAGGCCTAGGAGGCCGGAGCAACCCTCATGGTAACAAGATGGCCCCAGTAGCTCCTAAGATCCCTCTTCTTGGTATAAATCTAGCAGATCGAAACTATCAGAATCCTGGAAATTTCAAACTCAAATCCAGGAATAAAATCTTCTTTAGCAGCCTGCCTGGGGCTGTGTGCCTGTGTCTGAGCTAATTATTAGTGCCAGGGGCATAGGATAATCAGAGCCCACCTTTGAAGATGGGGGTGGGGTGAAGCCAGTATCTGAGAAATTCTGAGTACTACAAGGGCAGACCAGGAGGCACTAGATAACCATTATCTAGATGATGTTTCCTCCACACTGCCTTCCTGGGGTTTCTTTCCTCCAGATACTCTTTGTTACATCAAAAATCTAACTTTCTGGGCAGCATCTATAGCTCAAAGGAGTAGGGCACCGGCCCCATATGCCGGAGGTGGTGGGTTCAAACCCAGCC